ACGCACCGTGCATTCGTGGATCGTGGACTTTTGAGAGTGCGGAAAAACACTCTCAAAAATCCGTGTGTGCGCGGAAGGTGATTCGTGTGTGTTAGACGATCCACGCATGCGTAGGTAACATGTGTAGGTACTTTCTAAAGAACTGCACACAAAAAAATCAATTGTAAGCATTTGTAAAATGTGTTTTATGTGCAGTTTGTACAGCACGCATTTGTGATCCTCATGACACACACACACACACACACACACACACACACACACACACACACACACACACACACACACACAAATCGCTTGTTACAGACAAAACGTTAAACACGCATTTGTAACATTTTTGATAGTATTTTATCTCCATAGGGAAACAGTCAGGCCATGTCCCACAGCTCAGCTTTACACGTCTTTCCAGACAAACTCATTATCAGAATCCCTGCTGGTCCATTGATATGTCACACCCAAGGTGCTCAGGCCAGTTCTTCACAGTTCAGTCTGACATGACTTTGGAATAAATCAGAAATAGATGAATAGATCTAGAGGTACTGTATAAATCTATAGCATCAAAAGGCCCATAAGTTGCATCAGGAAATCACAACTTTAGCAACGTATGCCTTCAAATATTTCAAGCATTTACTCTTTATAGTCACTTTTGCTGAGACCATGTTGTAAGAGACATTCATCAAGTTGGAAGTGAATATCTGTGAGCTGCTTTAGTGTCTTTATTCTCAACTGACTTCCAATTTTCTGCTTCAGATGCTCATACCTCTAAAAAAAAAGAGAGGAAGACCTGTGTTCTAGGACAGCGGTTCCTCCATGCATGCCTGAATTCCCTGAAATAATCTTACCGGTCTGTTCTCTGAATGTCAACACCACCAGGGAGAACAATAGATATTGCCTCTAAATTATGATGGCAAATATGCATCCCTCAAGAAGGGGAGGATGAGATTTAAAGGATGAATAAAACAATCATGGACTCTATTACATGTTTAGGTTTTTGAGCTGGAAATGGAATGAAACTTAAACCCAGAAAAAAGTGGCAGAAAATTCAGAACTAAGTGAATTGATACATCTAATCAGGTTAATGTTTATTTAGGCCTTGTTTGTCTCAAGATAATATGTGTAACAGTAACAACAGTTGTCAGAGCTTTATTTAGCCTTCTTAACATAAACACCTTCATAGAAAAGTTACTTTCTCATAAGATTCACACCCTCTTAAAGAGGCTGTCCACACAAATGACAAAAAAAAAAAAAAAAACCCACTTAACTCTCGTGGCATCTGGCCATGCAGATAGTCTTGGTTTTATTTAAATGGATTTTCATTTGTGGTGTTCACAGCATTGAAAACACACACACAAAGATAAATTAAACAACAAGAAATATTGTCCCCATTATTCTGAATGATGCACAGAATTCATTGTGAACAGTTCATATAGGAACGACTTTCTACTGGAAAATCAGTGCCAGCGTTTCGGGACATAGTATGGCTGTTTCCATTTTTAAATATCTCTTTTCAGTGTTGGATGCACCACAAACAGACTTGCATTGTGTTGGGGCAGAACATTTCAGAATCAAGCTTAAAACCCAGGAAAGTCCAACCAAGACTACCTTCATGTCTAGACACTAGTAGAGGTAGGGGGGGAGAACAGTTTTTTTTTTTACTTATTTGGGTGAACTGACCCTTTAAGCATTCTGCAGCCAAAAACATATTTAGCACACACATGCTTTAATGCACAGTAGATTATATGAATACCAACTATCTAGGTTAAATGTCAAAACCCCCAAAAAGTTTGTTATAAAAGAAACAAAACCTGCAGACATTAAAAGCAACATGATTTGATTTCAAAGCCAGCAAAGGGTTACAACTGAGAGGTTACATAGAAGAAACCTTGATCAGGAATTAAAACTGTTAATTTAAGCAGGTCATCTTCTAACTTTAAGTAACTGATTTCTTATGTGTGTGAAGTCTGCTTGAAGAGAAGAGACACCTTGTTTCACAAGTTGCTTCTTAATTTATTTCTCATCTGGGGAAAAAGAAAAACAACAAGTGATGATGTGTAGCAACCAACAAACATTTAAGAATAAACATAAAACTTTGATATTGTCAAAGTAACAAAGATCTAGCATTTCACACTAGAATCTGAGGCACTCACCATCAATGCCCACAGTCCTTTGCATCAGAAAGGGTGAGCGCATTGCGTGGCGAGAAGCTGTGGCTATAATTAACAGGAAAAAAAAGCAATTAAGTTACTTCCAAGCATGAAAAGCTACAGATGCAGCATGAATCAAAAGGCCTATAATCTGTGTTGTCTACCTCTCGGACATTGGGGGCGACCACGCATTTTGGTGCCCGGGATGGGTGTGCCAGACCCATCCACACACCAGCAGTAACCGGTGCCATGCCAGCACTGCATGGGCATGTAGTGGCCCTGCTCGTCACACTGGGGCTTGTAGGAACCGATCAATCCCTCTTTTGCCTCTCTCTGGCATTTGGTCATGGCTGAAGAGTGGAAAGAACCATTAAAGACATGTTTACTTTTCAGTGACTACAGCACAAGTGACAATGTAGTTTCAACAGAAATAGAAAAACGCAAAATTAAAGCATTAATTACAGTAGAATAAAAAAATACTGAACATTTTTGGAAGTACACATTTACTTTCTTGCTGAGAATTAGATGAGAAGAATGATTCCACTCATTAACTAAATGTTAAAAATGATGCTTCAATAGGATAGATAGACAGATAGGATAGTAGTAGGCTATGGATCGTTTCGTGTGACAAAAAAACTGATTGAGTATATTTATCAAAGTGTCAAACAATTTCTTTAAGGCTAGACTAAATCTTTGTTTCAGGTTTCACCATCAGTAGTGTAAGACAGCGGAAACAATTAACCTTTGCATCAAAATTATGAAATTTAGCAAAAGGTATTTTAACAAGCCACCACTATGTATCTTATAAACTTCTGAGTTGCTCAGCATATCTCTTACATTAATAATGTCACATAATGTATTATATCCATTGTAGCTACTCAACATGTAGAAACTCCAGCATCTACTGTCACAGCACCAGTCTGGGTCAGAAAATCAGCTAAGTACTAAAATGTAAAGGAAAGAAAGTTGCAGTAACCTTGCTCAGTTGTGGGGGCTGTAGGCTTCTGTTGGGACATCTTGAAGATCAGCCAGTAACGCATCCAGGTCTCAAAGCTCTGCAGAGTACAAAATGACCAGATAATTCAACTGTGCTCATTTCAATTTTAGTTTTATTAGTGTCCATGTATGTGTGTGTGGCGTCACCTTCCACTCGCTGTCATTGGTCAGCTGCTTCAGCCTCTGCATGTTGTCCATGAAGGTTTCGTTGAACTCGGGCAGCTGGGCGTCCTGCTCAAAGTGCATCCAGAGCTTAGTGACAACTCATTATCAGCAATGCAAGGATACAGTATATTGAGTGCAATATACCTGAATGAGTTCCTTCAGCTGGTCCTCCACACTGACAACAGCAGTGTCCTGCAGTTTCTGGCATGAGCGAACAGACAGGTGTTGTTTATGGTACAATTTTCATATTCAAGCATTCATTTTACACCATCCAGGACAATATTTTAAGTCTTATACAACTTATGCAAGTATGTCGCCACCTAAATACGGTTAAATTAAACAGGTGTAAACTCACCGTCAAGGGCGTTTTGGTTTCCTTGGGGTCCTCATTCGAAGTGTAGTCCATCAGCATAGGCAGGCTGTTCATTGGCAAGTGCATCTTCACTGGAGCCACAGCTGAAAACAAACAAAAATGAATTAATAAATTGCTACCAAAGGTTAATTAAAAATGATGAAATAATATTTGGACACAGATTTGAAAAGCACTCCTGAAAACAACTTGTTTGTTGTTTGTTTGCAGCATAAAATTGAAGCAAAAATACCTGATCTAAAGTTCTTTATATACTAAAGCGCTACAGAATAAATAAATAAATACCTTGAACTAAATCATAAAACTACAGCTGAATAAAATGCAGCAGGCAACATATAATCAAACAGCTCCAAGAGGAGCTTTTCATCACAGCAACTCTGCTACACCGGATGTGTTGACTACTAGATAATAATAGTAACTTCATATGACGCTGCTTAAAATCTTCTTGGATTTTTCCGCCTTATGAATCAACAAGAAAAGTCATTTCTGTGCCCTGACTTCAGATCAGCTTCCTTAAAAGCAAACTCTCACTTCATTGCCTCATCATTAGCACTTTAATGTGCCCTTTTACCCTGGGATGTGCGGGTCATTTGTCTGCTCATTCTCTCTGAGTTCTTCTGCAGTGTGTGTATCTGTTGCTTCTGGTCAAACACCATGTAGGCAGTGAAGACCTGGCTGGCTAGCAGCAGGCAGGCCAGGGTTGTCAGGCCTGCTATCTTCAAAGCACGACTGTTGGAGCCCCTTTGAGAGGGAGAAATAGAAAAATATGTCACCTGAAGAGAATAAAGTAGCAGGGAAGAGGGAACAACATGACACACAGCAAAACTTAGAAACTAAAAGTGGCACTTTTGTACAAAATCCCCAGTGACTGGGGAGATTTCCAAAAGTGCTATGTGTGGCATTTTCTAAACATGAGTTATGTCGTGCGATATTGAGACTGGACAGTCTGGCACACAAAAAAGCTCCATATGTAAACATAAAAGCAAAGAAAACTGCTCCACGCAGCGTCTTGTTAAATTTTAATAATGTTGCCTATAGGCCTGAAACATGAACACAATATTTTTTTTTCTGCTACTACTCTCAGCCAATAGAATGAGAGCATCACTTGTTACTAGGTAGATGCTTCCTCCTGGTGTTATGAGGAAGTCTCCAACTAGACTATTAATACTTATAAACGGGTGTAAAATGACTTTTCTCTTATAAAAAGGTTCAAGGCCACGGAAGCTGTGCTTTCACATATATCTTATAAACAGTTTTAAACGAAAGCGATACTCGAACCCGGAAACATGCACTACTTGTAAACAATTGTATTTAAGTATTTTAGTAAGATGTTAGCATTTTACTTCTAATGTATCCACGAAAATGTTATTAAAATTAATTAAATCTATGAGAATAACTTAGTGTTGCAAAGAACATACTAAATTTTATTTATCCACCATAACCAACTCTGAAAACAATACAAATCCTGTTGTTACTCTTATAAATCATAATTTCTAAGTGTTTAAAGTTTGACGTGTAGGTGAAAAAAATGTTGCAAAGAATATAAATACATTCTCCTATTATTTCATGACCTAGTCTGCAAAAGTGAAACTGTATACAATAATCATGTAAACAACATGCAATAGCATAATATATCATCATAGGAATAATAATACACAATCGCAAATTTTCATCATCTGTATCAAGTAGATCATAGGAATAATAATACACAATACACAAACGCAAATTTTCATCATCTGTATCAAGTATCATATGTAAAAGTATTAGTTGCTGCAGAAATGACTAATTTGAGGTTGATTTTTCTTTCAGCAAGGGGGAAATTGTACCTTATTAAACAGCTGCTGTTATGAAAATAAACCCAATATGTGATGTTCCTCTTACCCTCTGGGTGCTACAGGGAGGACCAGGGCCTCTTCACTGCCTGCCACACTGCCTCTGGCCAGAGGAGCATCTTCTTGAGAGTCAGCCATCTCGATCCCAAGTGTTCCTCTGCTTCTTCAAATGAAACTGGAGAAAGTCTTGCTACCAAAGGAGATAAATTGAGTAGAATATGAGGAAGGAGCACTAGACAGGTTCCTCAGAAAGGTGGGGAGTCTTTAAAGCGTTGTGGGAAGGATCAGAGCTGTGGTAAGGCTGCGAGCTCTGATTGGTCAGAATTAAACAGCATCACTTGTTGCCAGAGGCAGACAATAGTGAAAGGACTGTGGGACCTGATTTTTGTTGTTAATTCTCAGATAACATGGTTTGTTAAAAACTTGCAAATCTAGGTCTAACAGTTCTTATACCCGTATCAACTGTACAAGTGGTTTATGATAAACATTATTTGTATATGACTTTTCCTTTCTTTCTTTTCTGGAACAATTACACAGTGCTTTACACTGAAAATAAAAGAGCAAACAATTAAGGCAAAAAAGCAATCAATGCAAATTCAGTATTACCACTACATCTAATAATAATAATAACAAAGTAACAATAAATGTAACAATACTAAAAGACTTTTTCTAAAATATTTGTCAGTAACCATAAGAACATGAGAACTGTGGTAACTACTAACTTCTATTTATTGTTGTTTCTCAAAGGACCAATTCATTATTTACATCCTAAAACAACAGAGGAGGGTTGCTTCTTTGATTTTTGTCATGTTCTCATTAAGGAACTAAAATGAAAAAGCACAAGTTGCGCGTAATGTTATGTTAAACATCAGAAGGATCAGTTTTAAAAAAATATGTTTGTTTAAAAAAAAAAAACTACCTATATTTGTGGGATTTTGAGAGATTCAAGATTTTCTTGCATGTGGAAAGTACTGTGTTGTAAAGTGAAAGCACAAGACAAACTGATCCAGCCACATACCAAAGAAGTTTCTAGAATCTCTGAACAAAAGCACCGTCACCCTAGTTGCTTTGAATGTAGTGATCATTACTTCAATATCCTTCAGATCAAATTCAACTAAAAACACCCAAATACTGAAAAATACAGTGGTGTTTTATTTGCAAATTAAAAAGCACCAACAATATTAGTTACACTGTAAAAATTATTGACAACAATTACAAATCTTTATCATACAGTCCAGGAGATTAGTACCATCGTTGCTGTTATGTGTTATCACTTAATACTTTATATGGAGAGCCTCAGTACCTCTGTACAATAGTTGGCAGTGAGAGGAAACAATCCTATGAATACACCTCTCCACAATGTAATTATCCAAATTTCCCTCAGTACAGCACTATTTCACACTACGGGAATGGGCCGATGGAGAATGTAAACCCAAATACATTCAATATTTTAGGTCTACTGAGGGCTGTGTATTACGTACATTACAAAGTCAAGAAAAATAACACAAAAACATGTGCACTGTTATTACATCAGAACATTGTACAAAACTATTGCAATAAGAGCAGCTTTTTATAATCTATGCTTGACATCTAGTTGCAGTGGTAACACCGTGACCGACAACCAAATGTCTGTATGGGCATACTGTTGGTTACGTTTCCCCCCCATAGACAGTTTTCTCTCCCCAAACTTAAAACTCATCTAGCAAATGAAATGTAAAAAAAACCCAAGACAAAATATACAGTTCTGACAAAATCCAAATGCTGAAAACAGATTTTGAAATGCACGCTGTTTGCCTCTGTACACTATCCCGACCTCCCGGACCAGAGTGCGTAATTAAACATACAGTAGCTAGCTTATGATCTTCTTCACAGATTGTAGTAGGAGCTCTTTAGTGTGCTTTCCAGTAACATATGCTCAGAACCGATGTTCACTTGAGTGCCTTAAATATTGTGCTTTCAACATGTATCCTGCTGTTCCTGCTTCAGTCGATTCAGTGGTCAAACTGTACTGTGGATCTGGCCTATATGTGAACACTGAAATAAGATGTTTAGTTTTGGTACATTCTACAATAATGCATTGCCATCGGCATTATAGGAAGGTTAAAACAAAATCTGAGTAAAGAAAACAAACTTTAAAAAAGAACCCTCAAAAGTCCATGTGGTAATATTCTGATGAAGAGTCTGTCCTGGCACTTGTAAATGTGATAACTAGATTCTACCAAGGCCTATCGAGTGAGGCTACAACATGCAGCCTGAGTCAAGACTCCAGATGTCCCATTCTCCTCTCGTACGAACACTTCATTTATGTCAAAGGCGTTTCTAACCAATGTCTGTCAATCATCCGCTTAGTTATGTTTCCTTTTTAATGTGCTCCAAACATCACAACTCGTGGCTAGAGACACAAGTAGTAGAGTGTGTTCATCTTTTGCCACCAATTTCCCAGAGATAAAAGTGTGACCAAAGCTCTAGCCTCAGACTTTGTTTTTCCTTCCTTTGATTTTTCAAGAAGATGTTTGTGCAAAGGAGAGAAGGTTTGATTAAGAAGAACAGGGATGTGATGATCAAACACTGAAGGTCCCTCTTGTGCGTTAATGAGCCTGTTACTTCCTTTTTCAGGACACAGAGGAGGCCGCCGTCAGGGCTTCCGTGTACCATGCTTGTCCTGCAGGGGGAGGGGTGATGGCATCTGGCAGCTCAGGGAGAAAAGGGAGCTGCTGAAAGCAACCATACTCTCTACTTGCTCATCATCCACTGTTGGCCTGTTCATTGTGGAAGATCACTGTGTTTTGAGTTGTAGTGGGACAACCCCTTCCTCACGTCTCAACTTTTTTTTTTTTTTTTTTAATTTTTTGCCAACTTTTTTGGTACTTCAGGCTTCTTGGCCAGTGTCCTGCAGCAGGGTTGAGTAGTGCTTCAGTGTGTAGAGCTGTGGTTTTCCTCCTGTGGTGCTGCTACCTGGTGTGTACCAACTCTTCTCTGAGCCAGCTGGGCAGTGGCTGACTCATTCTGTAGAGAAGCTTGGACAGCTCAATGTTGTGATCCCTATAGTACTCCCTGAGGAACACCTGCGACTGAAGGACAGAATGAAATTTAATGAAATCTCATCAAAAATGAAGCAATATAAATAAGTAAAAAAAAAAAAAAAAAAACAGCATATAGATTAAAAAAATACTACCATGCTTTTTTTTTTTTCCCCAATATT